TTACAAAAATCACATTCCAGTCCGTCATTTCTTTCTAGAATTACCTTATTTTTACCAAAGTAAATAAGTGTACAAATATCACAGAGCCCCAGTGTGTACGACAGGAAAACAGCCATTCCTCGCTCTGCCCTGCCTGCTGTGTTGTGACAACATGCGTCCTATCCACAGCAAAACCACAGGTGCACCTAGGTGGCATCTCTTTTCTTGTACAACTTCTCCTTTTCCTGAAGCTGATCTTTTGTTTTTCATTTGCTTCATTTCCCTTTGCCAGTTATTAATTGAGGCCCACGTCTCAGCAGACCCACGAGGCTCTTCTCCACACAGCGGGCAGTCTGACGGTCCTGCTCACGCCTGGGAGGTGGCCTGCTCTCCCTGGGCCTCTTCCTTGCTTCCACGTGGTCCTTTGTACACGCTCTGCCCCGTCCTCTGGGTGGTGCTCATCCTAGCTCTCCGAAAAGTCGCGTGTGCAGTGGGAGTTTCAGGTCCATGTGTGCTGGTAAACCTCCATTCTGTTGCACACATGGTTGATAATTCGGTTGGGCGCAGAAGTTCCTTTCCTACGGGGTTTTTAGGTCATCATCTTTTAGGTCATCCCTCAATGTGGCTGTGGCATGATTTGAAGTCACTCTCCAGGTCCATGTGTGCTGGTAAACCTCCATTCTGTTGCACACATGGTTGATAATTCGGTTGGGTGCAGAAGTTCCTTTCCTATGGGGTTTTTAGGTCATCATCTTTTAGGTCATCCCTCAATGTGGCTGTGGCATGATTTGAAGTCACTCTCAAGCCTGATCCTTTATCCAGAGCTAAAGCAGGACAGGATGCGCCCGGTGAGGGTCTGTGGCCTCCATGGCCCTGGCTGTGTGAGCCTCCTGGCACCGGCTTCAGGGGCAGGAGTGTGTCTGACTCTGTGAGTAGTTCCCCCTCTGTTAACTCTATTCTCTGTTTTTATCTATTTGACGTTGGACCTTTTTGCTCCCATTTTCCATCTTTATCCTTTTATTTTCCCATTTGAAAATTCTCAATTTTTTCTTCAGCCCCTCTTTTCAACACTTTTATTTTTGTCCTCATGGCTTTATATTCTTTAAAATGTCCTTCACTGTCACTTTGGGTTTTCAGGAAAGAACCGCCATGAGCGTGCGCATCCTCCTCTCTAGCGCTGTCTGCACACCTTTTGCCACGACGGGGTTTGAGCATTCTTTGTTGATGAATCAGTGGCTCCTTTCCTCCCTGGTGACTGGATGTGGTGTCAGCCCCAAAGCAGCGTTGCTTCAGGAGAAATCGCCCTTCACACTTGTGCGAAGTTCACTTATGGGTCCTCTTTGAACCCAATGGTTGACAGTGAAAGGAGCCCAACTCTGATGTCGTTTTACTCCATGACTAACTCTCAGGGAAGAAGTAAACCCACTCATGAGATCGTGCACAGGATGTGCGAGTTTGTGAAGAACCGGCCCATGTCTTGATTGGAATTGCTTCCTGCTGAAGGACAGAGGCAGGTGCTGGGGATGGTGTAGGATTTTGAGGTTGACATTAGAATGGTTTATCTGCCTTACTTTGTAATTTACTTAATTGCTTTAAGGAGAAACATCCCCGACTGCCACCTCTTCCCCATGAGGAGCGATCCTCTGCTTATGAATAAGTTTAGCATCCTTCTGCCCCTTAGCTTTCACCTGCTCTGAGCTTCCTTCTGGATGCCACCTGCTGAATGCTTTGGTTTTGCAGCTCTGCTATCAGGTGTGAAATGCAGCTCCTGTGCCTGGGAGCGCTGGGAGCTGAAATGAGCTTTGACAGGCCTCTAGGCGTGGAGCAGCACTCCAGTGAGCCTGTGCAGGCGTGGCTGTGTGTCTGCTCTTACCTCACCAGCCAGAGACTCAGCCACATCCTGAGCTTTGGCTACCTGGCAGAATGACTATAGTTACGGGCATTCCGCAAGCTTCAAGAAATGTGTGTTTGAACAGCTGAAACTGTAGGTCACTGTGTCTTTGCTGTGGAGTTAACTCATTTCACCATGTGAGATAGCCAGACTTCAAATGATCAGAGCAGGCCTTTTCCAGAGAGGAACACGGGGAGGTGGGGAGTGGGCCAGCTGCGTCTGACGCCCTTCCCAGCACAGCCTGCTGCGGGGCCCCTGTGAAGACAGAGGCAGTGGCACATTTTTCAGGTGTGCCTTCTGTTCCCTGGCTTCTCTGCCCTCCCCATGGAAGCCCATCTATGTGCCACATGGATCAGGGTAGCCTCCTTTCCCTGGTCCTTGTGCTGCTCCTTGGGCCCTCTCCCCAGCCTGTGTCAGCAGCGCTGCTTACCTGGTAGATTCTGTGGGGGAGTCAGTGTCCTGAAGAGCCCCACAGGGACAAGGGTCATCATGGGCCCATGCCGTCCTGTCCCCTGGCCCTGCCAGTGTGGTGTTACAGTGCCTGCTGTCAGCTCCAGCCATCCTGCAGGCAGGGCTGGCTCTGACAGGTCCCCTGTGGTTTAAAGTTCTGGTGTCACTCTGCTGGGGTCCTCATTTCCATCTTCCTGTGGGCCCTGCATGTGAGAAGCAGGCCCTGGCTCCAGAATGGGCCAGTGCAGGGAGAGGCAGTGAGTCCTGCCCTGGTCCACCTTGCAGGCGGGAGGAGGGGCCTCCTTTCCAAGAGCAGCCGTGTGCTCACCTGGAATCAGGGCAGCCTGCAGCTTGAGAGGTGGAGGTAGAGCGGTGAGTAGGTGAGGGAACAAAATAATTTCAGCTGGCGAAATGGCTGCGAGGAGGAAAGATGGTGGCTGTGGAGGGGACAGGGTGGGGAATAGAGGCCGAATGACAGGAGGAGCTGCTGTGGAGGGGGCAGGGTCTGGAGAGCAGGTGGGTCACAGGGTGCAGGGGCCTCTCCTGTGGAGTCTGCAGTCCTGGGTGGGGGACGCAGGACGGGCAGGATCTGCCTCCCAGCCGATTCCCTGGTCAGAGCTTTGCCTGTGGAATGACCTCTGGTTCTCTTGATACCTGCAGTCCTGGACAAGGTCGGGGCACTGTCTGCAGTAGCGCGGCCAGTCCATAGCTGGCCCGTAGTGACCCTGTCACACACTATATCCTGATGCCACCTGGTCCTGCTTTATGGCATCAGGGCAGCCACCAAGAGGGGATCCCCTGCCCTTCAGGGCCAGGGACCACCATGCTCTGTTGTGTAGGCACACACGGCCCAAATCTCAGAGGCTGCTTCTCCCACAGCACAAGGTTTCTGTGCCCAGCCTTGCCCATGAGGTCTGGGTGGTAGCGGGACTGTTTTCTTGCATGATAATCAGGTGGCTTTTTTTGCCTTGGCTTGTTTTGTTTTGGTGTTTTTTAAATAATGGGAAGAAACAACATAAATGGAAGGGGAACGTGTAAATGATATGTATTAGGAAACAGAAGTGGGTCCTCTACTATAGCCATGGAGAAGGCTGTTTTGTCACTGAATCCTTCTCATCTGCCAAAATCCAAGTCCCACGGTGAAATGGCCCCTGTTTAAACACAAATGCACACTGCAGGAAGTCATTGCTCCCTGTGTTAATGCCCTCCAGAGCAGGCTGAGGATCTTCTTAAAACACACCTTCGATGTTTCTGGGAAGCCAGTTTAGGTGGGTTGCTCCTCCCCTCCTCCCAGGACCTTTGCCTCATGGCCATCTTCAGACTGGAGCAGGTCCCCAAATTGTGGACACGCACGTGGCCTGATCCTCCCAACCCATGCTGATCTTAGCTCTGACTGCAGGGAAGATTGTGCAATTTTGCTCAAATTGTATGGTAAGCAGTAACTTCCCGCTCTAGAAAGATGAAGAACAGCAGGAGTGCTGATTTAAAAAAAGAGGTAGAATCTCACTGGTGTACACGTCTACAAGTGGTGGAAGCTTGACAGTAGTCAAGTAAACCTCAGGACTCAAAGGCTTTCTCCACAGTGGCATTTGTCCCACTGTCCCACCATCCTGGGCTCTGGAAGCCGATGGCCTCTCCCTGGTAGAGAGGCAGGTTCCTGTGCCTCTTCCCAAGGGTGCTGCAAACTACAATGCGGAGCTTCCCAAAGGGTGCCCCGACCCAGAGGTGGTGACTCGGTGGGCCTGGGAGTGGCCTGGGCCACATGTGGTGAGCAGTTGGCAGCCAGTGTGGGCTTAAAGTTGCAGGTTTGCAAATAGTTCTGTCCACATGAACTTGTTTACAAGAAGCAAACCAAGCCGAAACACCACGCCCTGTGGTCAGGGGAGAGCTGAGGGACACAGGTGCACCTGCGTGCAGGGGCTGAGCACTGGCCCTCTCATCAGGGTGGGTGGGGTGGCACCCTCCTGCTCTGGGGGCCACCCCCTCATCAAGGGGGGTTGGGGTGGCACCTTCCTGCTCTGAGCACCGGCCCTCTCATCAGGGTGGGTGGGGTGGCACCCCCCTGCTCTGGGGGCCAAGCTAGCCCTTACCAGAGGCTGCTGGGAGCTGCTGTGCATTTGCTTCTCTGGACTGTTAGACAGGCGCGGTCTGCAGGTGAACAAGTAAGTGTGTAGTTTAGAAGTCAATAATCTTCACGAGTCAAAGCCCTGAAACGATCACCGTTTGTCAGTTTTCCTCAGATTTTAGGGTGACACAGCTATGCCAACATGGGTGAGTTATTTAGGAGAACGTTATTTAAGAGACATCACCATTAAGTGACTGTCATACCTCAGCATTTTCCTGCCATGCCCAATAAGCCACCATAAGCCTTGTTTCCCATCCACTGGTAAAACGCAGTAACAGCAGTATTTCGTTACGACACCACCAGTACATGTGTAACCCTGTGTCCACAGAGTTTTAACCAAAGCATCAGCTACGCTGTATTCACCATTTGGGACTGATGAGTGGACTGAAAATGCTCTCCCATGGGCCTCGTGAACACTTCCTTTATTCTCCCCTGGAACAGCGTGTCAATGTTAAGAAAATATTCACCCCATGTGCGTATTTTTAAACTGCCGACAAGATAACCTTGAACCCAGTTGTGTCTGCCTGACTGTAATGAAATCTCCTTTTTATGCAGCTTCTGAACCCAACCTGAAATTACGGTCCAGGCTAAAGCAGAAAGTAGCGGAGAGGCGGAGCAGCCCCCTGTTACGCAGGAAGGATGGGCCAGTGGTTACTGCTCTAAAAAAGCGCCCATTGGATGTCACAGGTATGTCAGCCCAGTAGGCATCCTGCCCCTGCCGTCCTCTCTGTGAGGCTTTCCTTGCTGCCCTTGGTTTCCCTTTGGCACCTCTGAAAACCTGCATCTCTGCCTGACACTGTTGAACCCCAGCATGGTCTTTTTGCTGTAGCGCAGGAAGTACCAGGCCCACGAACCAGAGTCGGTGACTTAGGCATCTCTGGCCAAGTCCCTGCTCCCAGCCTTTCTCAAAGTTGGTTTTAATCAGGCCCAGGTATAGGATAGTGATATGGACTGGCATCGTGGGTGATGTGTACAAGGAATTTTAAGTCAAAGATTGTCTGAGCATGGGGTTCACAACTGACTCCACCCTGATGCCTGTTTAACATGTCTGGTCTGCTGCAGGGTGCTAACCTCTTCCCCACCAGGGTGTCCACAGCTGAGCACTGGAAAGACAGCAAGGAGCTGAACTGTTTCAGCTCTACCTTAGTGAGTGTCATGCTGTCGGCCCCACCTAGTGGTGGACATGAAGAAGGACGCAGGCCAGGCAGAGCCCTCCCTGAGGGGGCACGGCCCCTCTTGAGGGCACCCTCCCCAGGGAGCACCCCCCCCATGCAGGGCACCTCACGCAGGGAGTACTGCCGACGCAGGGCACCTCACCCAGGGAGCACCTTCATGCAGGGAGCACCCCACACATGGCACGTAACCAAGGGAGCACCCCCCCATGCACGGCACCTCACCCAGGGAGCACCTTTATGTAGGGAGCACCCCCGAGGGAGCACCTTCATGCAGGGAGCACCCCACACATGGCACGTAACCAAGGGAGCACCCCCCCCATGCACGGCACCTCACCCAGGGAGCACCTTTATGTAGGGAGCACCCCAACGCAGGGTACCTCACCCAGGAGCACTCCCCATGCACGGCACCTCACCCAGGAGCACCTCCCATGCACGGCACCTCAGGAGCACTCTCCATGCACAACACCTCACCCAGGGAGCATCTTCATGCAGGGGGCACCCCCACACACGGCACCTCACCCAGGAGCACTTCCATGGAGGACCCCCCAGCCAGGGAACACCTTCACACAGGGCACCCTCCCCAGGGAGCCCCTCCGCCAGAGGGTCCCTCCCCACCCAGGGAACACCGCCGCTCCCAGCATGCACTCGACCCCAGGGAGCACACCTGCCCGGGTGCTCTTCTATTCTTTTCTCACTTGATGTCAGTCACTATCATTTTCCGGCAATTCTGATGTGTCCTCATTTTGCTGATGTGAGTCATACTGTGGTCATGCATTTATATGTATCTCCTCAGACTGGAGTCCTGGAAGTGGAATGAAAAATATTAACATCAGTGAGTTAAAAGTGGATGAAAAGCCAGATATGTATATTTTTATTGCCCCCAAAAGTTGTCCTCACTTCTCATGTGTGCACGTGGCAGTGTTTGGTGACACTACTGGGAGGCATGGGAGGGAGAGGGGTTTTTTTTGCTGGAGACACGCTGGCCAGCAGCACGGGAGAGCTGGGGGGACGGGGCGTGGAGAAAGCAAATCTGTTTTCCTGAGTGAACTGTAAACACCTGCTCAGCCCAGGTGGCATTCTCAGCAGCTTGCAGTTAATGAAGTGCAAGGAAATGGGCTTCACCAGAGAGCAGAGCCAGGCTCTGGCTGGTGTTTGGTGGGAGTGACAGGGGGAGAGAGAGAGGGGACAGGGCAGAGGACAGGAAGGGAGCCGGGGTGGGGACCAGGTGTTGTGTTCATTCTCAGCCCCTGGGATGCGTGAGCTGACCCCGTGCTTTGTTGAACTCCAGGCAGCTCTTGAGTGAACGCAGCAGTTTGACCTTGGGAGGTGTAGACAACTGCTGTTAGGGTGGGGGATGAGCCTGGGGTGTTTCTGGGTGGGCAGGAGAGTGTGTCCTGTGCCTCAATATCCTCTTCTGTGTCGTGAGGCTGATGATGGCACCTTCCTGTAGGGTTAGTGAGGGACAACAAAAGCAGAGGTGTTGGAACGTGGTCTGCCAGGTCGGGAGAGCTGTGGGGTACCTGCTCCCACCCCTCCATCCTCCTTGTTGTTCCTCAGGGTTACGTCTGGAGCCAGTTTTCAGATTCAGCTCTATCGTCACCAGCCTCCAGCAGGCTTGGGTAGCACATGAATTGTGGGTGAGCACCTGCATGTGCGTGGGCTGGGGGAGGAGGTGGCTAGCAGGGCCTGGGAGAGGCTTTGCTGGAGCCTGTCCCACCTCCTCGCCCAGCACACCTAGCTCAGGCGGCCTGCTTAAGGGAAATGTCCCTAACCTCCCCTTCAGGGTCCCCACCCTGCCATTTCTCCTTGACCAGCGTGTGCTCTGCAGGTCTAGATTCAAGGCAAGGCTCTACGTGTTCAGAGTTATTGCTGAATGGTAGACCCCTAGAGCAGTTCTGGCAAGTAGGTCACACTGTGTCGTCTTTGGAAAGTTTTATTCTGCTGATGCCAATGTGTAAATGCCATTAAACCAAACATAAAAAGCCAGACACACTCAGGCTTCCCATAGTGTGTGTGCATAAAATAGTGATAGTGGCTCCTTGAGCCGTGGAAAGGAGCTCTGGCTGAGCATACAGTAATTCCTTGCCTAACCTGAGCGGAGCCTGGTCCCATTAACCAGGGTCAAGCCACTTCGATGTTTAAAGTACATTAAGAATATCTTGGTGTGTGTTTTCAAATAACACTGATAAATTACAGAAGCCGCTAGCTATATTTTCCCCGGGATGTTTAATATTATGGGAAAATTGAGAAGATTTAGTTCGAAGTGAACACTAATGGTAGGTTGCTCTATTTTGAACTAAGCTTTTTTTGGTAAGCACAGTAAATTTGACCTTTCACTGTTCAAAGTCATTTGGCTTCTGTGTTTCGTGGCCTTCTTTTGTGAGAATAATAAATGTTTAAGGGCTTATCTTTGTGGTGTTTCAAATCATCTTAAAATTAAAAAGAGGTATGAAATTGATGATGTGAGGATCCTGAAAGACTAAAGTGGGGCATCTGCAGCTTTGCAGAACTCACTGGGGGGTCAGTAGCAAAAACGAAGACTAGTGAGCAGGTTGCACTGTCCCTGCTGGGAACTGCAATCATGTTCATTCTTTTTGGGATTTCTGCTGGTCAGCAAGCTAGCCGCAGAAATCACAGAAGGCAAAGGCAGTTAGGGCCACAGGAAGCATGTGCCCTTCCCTCTGCAGAGTAACACTCACGGCAGGTGCTTCTCCACCTCCACAGACTCCGCGTGCAGCAGTGCCCCAGGCTCTGGGCCCAGCTCGCCCAACAACAGCTCTGGGAACGTCAGCACAGAGAACGGGATCGCGCCCGCCGTCCCCAGCATCCCGGCCGAGGTCAGTGCCAGGCGTGGCTGTTTCTGTTGTCCTGCACCGAGTCAGGTTCAAATGGCTTGACTTGCTTGAAGTGACCCCGCTTTGTACTTGACCTTCACTTCTGACTTTCCGGTTTGGGGTGAGGGAAGCAGGCACGTGCATCTTCCTGAGAAAGGCACCATTGTGGATTGTGTCCCTCCCACTCATTGCAGACGTCTCCTTCCCCTGTGAGTGCTATGGTTCCAGGTATGTCAGCGAACAGCCCCAAACCCAGTCTTTCCTCCTGGCCTCTCCCAGAGCGTGTTTCACCGGGTGGCATCACAGCACACAGTCACACGAGTTGGCGCCCTGGGCAGACTGGACCCCTGCTGCCTGCGTGCCGTGGTCACCAGCACTCCACCAGGTGGCTGGGAGATGGCGGCCACATAGGAGTAGTTGCTGAGTGAGAATTAAATATTTGTTGTGTATTGAAAATACACAAATTAAAATGGTCAACAAACCATGCGTCAAGGAAGACTAGAGCGTAACCAGTGTCGGCACTGCCGGGGTAGACAAAGCTGGAGGGAGGGAGTTTTTCCAGGCGTCACCAGAACCAGGAGTCTCAGACCACAGGGCTTGGCACCTCTCACCCCCTGCCTCCATTAGACCCTGAGGGGTTCTGCCGTCTGGGAGGGACGTTGGCAAACTAGAATGGGGTCAGAGAGGGCTCTGGAATCACTTGGCGGGAATAATATCAAAGACAGGAGCTTAGTGGAGAGGAAGGTGGAGGGGCACCAAGGCTGGCTGGGGGTCACGCCGCTGGCCAGACCTGGGTCAGGGTGACTTTCGGAGGCAGTAGTTACCAGGACCTATGTTCCATGCACCCATTCCCTCCTTTCTTTGCTCCCCCCTTATCCACATGTGTTGGGCCCCAGGAACAGAGAGCCAGGCAGGCAGCCCAGGGCCTGCTTCTGCACAGCTCGCCCGCTGGCAGGAGAGGCAGCGCTAGCCAGGACACGGGAAGGACGAGAGAGGTGTGTGTGCTCACTGAGCCATGCCGCGGGCCTGGGCGGGTGACCGCGAGGGGCAGGGCCACTGCAGCATGAGGCTTCTGATGAATTGAGCCAGAAGTGCCATCTGCTTCGTGTAGCAGCGTTCTCTTGAGAGGGAGGTTCTTTTGAGTTCTTTCTAACTTAGAGAGCTATAATTTACGAAATATCATTATTTACTTGCCTTCTTAAATATTTAGAAATGAATCCTGCCCCTGCAAAGGGTTGACAAATCTTAGTTGGGATACACAGCCACAAGCACTTAGCATCATTCTTTCAAATTTCTAGACC